CAGCTTTAAATGATGATTTTCCATTGGGGTTTTGTGTCTGGGTTCATGTGCTTGTCGGCATGAGTGGTTGAAATCCTTGAGAGTCTGATGCATCAATATAAGATAACCTCGCCGACGACGTTGTCCGCTGAACACTCCAAGGGTCTTCAGTCTATAACGGTGCGGGAGATGCATTAAGAGCGGGGAGTTCGTGTTTTTGCCAAGTGTGTGTCAGCTGTACGTCGTAACGGCGCTTCGCTGCCGTGCGACGATCACCACTCGAACGCGGGCTGAGTATATCGCGAGGACGCCCACTCCTACGCGGATTCGAACCCGCGCCACAAGATTACGAGACATGCTCGTTACCTCTAGGCTACGGGCCTTCGTAACTGCGACCGGTACTGCCGAATGACAAGCCTACTCACCAAACGTACGTACGATCTGAGCTGTAAAACACGAGAGCGGAATAAGTTGTACTGAGTAAACCGCGTGCGAGGTGTGCGAGATCTGCATGGCGTATTCCATGTAAACGGTGAACGTTTGCGAAAAGGTGGCAAGATCAAACAGCTAGACGCCTTCTACAAGAGACCCTAGTATCGACTCGCTTTTCCGACCGGGATCGTTTCGCATGAGCACCCCAACATCACTATCATGGAAAGCGCACCACAAGGGTGCACGAACTGAGCTTTCTACTTCTGTCCATTCTCTTCCACACTTTTGTCTCACTTTGCAGTAATCGTTCTATTGTCAATGCATGCCACTCACTGTGTTATCGACGCACTGCTCCTCGAGTTGACGTGCCATTGGTCTCATCTCTTCGCAACAAGGCGATTTTGATCAAATCTTTGCCGATGTGTTTGTTGTTGTTGTTGTTGTTGTTGTTGTTGTTGTTGTTGTTGTTGTTGTTGTTGTTGTTGTTGTTGTTGTTGTTACTTATCTGACTCCTCGTATTCTTCGCCATCCTCACTGTTACGCTAAGTGTTGACAATGTTTATCTCCTCGTCTTCACCGCCTGCTTGAAGTCTTCCAAGGTGAAGAGCACCAACTTCGTCAAGCGATTACCCTCAATGCTTGACTCCGTCGTGGAACAAGCTTTGAGTTAGCTGACTCCTTGTACACATCTGCTGCTTGACACTTTTACACCCGTTGTGCTCGCCTAAACGATCGTGATCGGCGCAACCGTGTCGCTTCTAATGAACAGGGAAACGGTGAGTGTGGATGGACACACAGAGAAACCATGGGGTCGGAAGTGTGGTCAAAATTGCCATAAAATACTCCAATGTATGAGTTTGCATCCAAGGACTTAAAGCTAAACGTACCAGCATCATTTACATCGAAGTCGTGTCATGTTTTTAGCAATATTCACGCCTCTTACAAAACTCCTTCGTAAAACAGGCTACAGTCAGTCCTTCGGTTGATTTATTCAGTCCCTTTCTCCGTATCACCGACTGACTACCCTGTGACTCTCTTCCCACAGTTGAACGCGCTACCGGCAAATACCACGTGTTGAGATCGGGCCCTCATGATCTGACTCGTGTGTGTGCAACTTTAGATCATCAGGCAGTTTGATGTCGTTTCATTGAGCTTGTTACTAAACCTCAGCGGAGAGACTTTCGCATTGCTTACTTGATCTACTTACCGCTAAGGAGGATTTTCAGATGGCATCTATAGTCGGAGACGCCACCTCACTTAATACCGTCCTCTCGTACTGGTTAGTTTAGGACTTGCAGATTTGGCTGAACTCCGACATCATACCCCAAGAAGTCGTGTTGTCAGAATACTCTTGTTTCCGATGCGACCGAACATCAAAGGATCACGGTGGTGTTCTGTTGTGCATTAAATCGTCACTTTCTGGTAAACTTACCAGCACCTATCGGAGCGACGATAGTTTACGTGAGCAATTGTGGTGCACAATCCGCCTCAGGCGCGCAGAACTAATAGTGGGGTTATCTACCGTGAGGTTATCAACCGTTGTTGCGATTGGCTACCACATGTACAGAAGCACACGATCCGCCCTCAGTTCTTACTGATGGGGGATCTAAATTTACCTAAGGTATTTTGACCAGACGTTCGACTTCTTCCCCGTCTTGATAACGTTGAGGCTCAATTCGCTAAAATGACTGTTAAAATCGGGGCAACGCAACATGTCATTCAACCGACGCGCGTAACTCCGCACTCGGCATATTGTCTGGACCTACTGTTTACCAGCTGCAAGCAGAAGCTGAACGAGATCAGAGTCATCGAACCTCTGGCGAACAGTGACCAATGCTCCATTGTGGCAAGCTTAGAACTGTCGTTACCATATTACAATCAACAGAAGCCGACATTGAACTATTGGAAGACGAACTTCGACGGCCTCGTCCAAGCCGCAAGTCAGACTGATTTGACACTACCGCTTGATTCGTCGCTTGAGGCCTGTTGGTCATTAGTGAAGGGGAAGCTTAACTCGCTGTGTACTCGGTTCGTTCCCCTGAAGTATTCAAAGTCGGACCTGTCAAACCGCATTGATTTGATACGGAATATAGACAGTTAACGCGGCGGCGTAACTTATGTACCGGCGGCGTAACTTATGTAACGCCGCAAAGATCAAGAAACGTCGGCAGTTCGAAGAGGAGCTAGCATCCTCGGCCACAACTGCACCTAAAAGAGTGTTTGCCTACTTGAAACGTCAACTGAAACTTGGGCGACCGGTTCGAATCCGCGTAGGGGTGGGCGTCCTCGCGGTATACTCAGCCCGCGCGCGACTGGTGGTGGTCGCGCGGCAGCGAAGCGCCGTTACGGCGTATAAGCTGACACATTTCATTTCATTTCATCGGTCTTAGAGAGCTTAGACAGACAAACGCTCATTTCAAACGCAGAGCGCGTGGACGCCTTGGCTACGCACTTTCTCACCGTATTTTTCAGTAGATCAGCGGCTGTTCCAGTACCGGCACAGGTTGCGCCAGTCTTGCTCGACAGTCTACAATGTGATGCAGTCGAAGTGTACCAGCTGCTCGTCAACCTCGATGGTGCAAACCCCTCCCCCGGAGCAGACGGACTTCACTCACTAATACTCAAGTCCCTGTCGATTATCATCTCACCAGCTATGACAAACCTATTCAATAAATCACTCTCTGAAGGATCTGTCCCCAACGACTAGAAATGCTCGATAGTGAGACCGCTTCCCAAGGGTGATGCTCCGAGTAAAATCGAGAACCATAGACTGATCGGTTTGACTTCCATATTGTCCAAAGTTCTCAAGAAGGTTGTGAAAAAGTGTCTGCTGTCGTTCTTCGAATCGATGGACATCTTGACGCCAGCGCAACACGGCTTTACGAATGGGCGATCCTGCATCACCAACATGATGTACGCAAACCACCAGTGGGTACCAGCTCTCAATGAACATGTGTTGACGTGTTATACATCGATTTTACTAAGACGTTTGACAGAGTGAACCACGAGGTACTCCTTTGTAAACTGAGGACGTACGGAATCAGTGGCACGTTACTTCAGTGGCTACACGAGTTTGTTGTAGGAGGAAGGTTTAGAGTACAGGTCAATGACTACCTGACAGACTGGTTCCCATCGACTAGTGGCGTGCCTCAAGGAACTGTGCTTTGGCCAGTATTATTTCTTATTCATATCAAAGATCTTCCGCAGCAGCTCCAGTCACGATGTGCCCTATTTGCAGATGATTTGAAAATTTGGAGAATCATTGAGAACCAGGACGACTGCGCTCGCCTCCAGTATATATATATATATATATATATATATATATATATATATGTATATATATAGTATATATATATATATGTGTGTGTGTGTGTGTGCGTGTGTGTGTGTCCCATGCCGACGCTGATGTTGCATTCTTGATGCTTCACTGCAGTTGGGTTAAACCAACGTACATTGAAACTAGGTCTTCTTAAGCTGGATAAATTTCATTCCACTTTATTTGGTTTGTTCTGCCTACCTGACTAATATTCTATTAACTGGCCACGTTGCTTACGCTGCTTGCGCTTATCTTCTGTAACTTCGTTGCGTTTGTAACCTTTTTAAGTAACTTGTGGACACTTTTTACTTAGCGCGGATTCGTTACTAACCCACATACTTCATATGGTAATTTAGCGACGAGTTATGCCACCGTATCTGTATGCAATACTGGATTCGTTTTACTTCATCAAGCCGTTTCAAGTGATTGGCTGTTGCTTGATATCCCCGGTGTGGCTGCGCTTGATGTGCATGTTGACAAGATGCCAGCCTGTATATTACCCACCACATGTTCTTTGCTGGAGGGGACCGGGTGCACAGTCCTCCTGGCCGTGCTAGGCTCGAAGAATGGTTATATGCACTCAGTGTGGAGCGGACTATGATCCAGCCACGGCCTTTTGTGCGCTTGATTCCCAAATACAGCGTGCTTGTGTTTACCTGTAAAGGAGTGTGGGCCGGCTCCGTTGATGAAACGTGGCTCCCATCCACATGCCTCCCGGTCTTATTCCTTCGGGTTTACACTGGACATGGTGTGTGTGGATGTGCAACGCAAGCCACCCATATATATATATATATATATATATATATATATATATATATATATATATATATATATATATATATATAAATCCGGCACCCGGTTTCGGATTTGCCTGTCACTCTGGCCAACCACAGGACGCTTGCGTCTAGAGAGGGACCATGGGTGGCTTGCGTTGCACCACCCACACACACCATGTCCAGTGGAAACCCGAAGAAATAAGATCCGGAGGTATGTGGATGGGAGCCACGTTTCATCAACGGAGCCGGCCCAGTTGGTCCTTTATCGAAGCTGTCCTTCACCACATCCCTCAAACACATTGAATCGCTATGCTCCAAATATTTTGTATTTGGTACCGCGTCTCCTACCACATGTGTTCACTTGGCAATCACGGATAGCTTTCTTTCTTGGTCTTGAGCTCCTGCGTTTTGTCATTGAACCAGGGAGTTGGACGCAGGCACAAAACAAACATATTCCGAGGAACTAAAAACATTGTCATTTTCCTCCTCCTTTTTAGAGCGAAACTCGCTATGCCTCCTTACTTCAGTCCGGATGCACAGAGCTTGCTTCGTGCTCTCTTCAAGCGGACTCCTCGCAATCGTCTGGGTAAGTGATTTTGGCGACTGTTGAAACCTATTGACACGCTTCGGCATCTCATCGACCTCCTTGTGAAATGCAGGCCTTAGTCCCCTTGGTTACTTGACCACTCCCGATGTACCAGAATTGTACTCATCTCTTGTTTGATTGTCTCGTAATAATGTATCTATTTTTAGAACTCTCGAGAACTTGCGCCCAGCGGGAGACTTTTAATTTCGTACTCGAAAGAATAATTTATAGTCAAATTACGACACTTGTGGATTAGGGTGGCTGAGAACATACCGGTATGGGTTAATAAACGCGTTTCGCAGGTGACCGCGTCCACAACCCCGAATGCGCAGCCATTGAAGTGAAATGACGTTCCTTACGAGCAACGGGGGTCATCAATCACCCGCCACCTGCCGGCTGACAACCCCTGTGTAGACCCCGTATGTCCCTTCCCTGCCGGAATGAACCGCTTTATTTTGCTATATGCTGAGTTCATGGCCATCAAACAACTTGACCCAACTCTGTGTGTGCATAAAGACACATTTGTGACCCTGGCTCTGTCGTGATAGCGGACCAAGAACAGATGACAAGATGACATATATGTATGTGTGTTCACTTTGGTCAATTTGCCATTTTAGCTGCGCTTATTTAACAATGCTATACATTTACACATCTGTAGTACGCACTTTTATGTCAAATCAAGTCAGTATATGCTTTATATACCCAAATGGGTGTGCATTTTCAGCATTTTCATTATCAACTGTAAATGTACCAAACGCGTACCTTCAAAAATGCTAAATTTACTAATGGGCAGAAAAATGAGAAGGACGCACTGTCATACCACTATCGAGCAACGATCCCATAATGCTTAACTACATCTTTGGGATTTCCATCCATCCAAAGCGGACAACATTTAATTAAAACCTTTCTTCATAGTTCCTTACAGTTGATGTAAGACCTTTTATGCATGTATCGTGGATTGTGCGCAATATGTCACCTTTGTATTCAAAAGCTTGGTAGAGTAAATTGGTCTCAGTGACCTTGGAAGTTGATTGAACAACATGCATGCCAGCTTATTCTTGCAAAACCGATATATATATATATATATATATATATATATATTTATATGGCGGGAGAGCCTATGGTGCGTTGAGGCTGGTGGTGGCTAGATCCTGACAGATGGTCTACCCACTGCTGCTACTGTTATGCCATTTGCTCATGTCCTGGGCGCATCCTCGTGGCGACCGCTGGGTGAGAGTTGGGTTTCACCCTTCTCCCTGCTAAGATCCAGGACACCAATCCGCATGAGTCAGTGAACTGGCTAAGTGCTAGACCCGCTGCCTTTCGGGTGTATATTTAATCGAAGGCTTTGGCTGAGGACCCGAGTCGTTCTCCTGTCAGGTGTGGGCGCCCTGGCAGTATCCTAGTCCATCCTCTTCGGAGGTTAGGAAGTGGTCGATGGCCCTCTTCCCGTAAAACCTATCCATGGGAGACTACAGGTCTACGGGTTATAAGCTCACAGCTCGATTAGCGTAGAGCACGAGCGCGACGCATTGTTTCTGACGGAGGGAGGACACCTCCGGGTGTTCAATGGTTTGCTACTGCCCGCCTCAAGCCAGACAGCCCCTGGTCAAATTGGTGCAAACCCGCCAAAACCCACCTGCGTCTGGCCGTGGTCTCAGGTGTATCCTATTACGGTCGCAAAACATATAAGCCGTTCCAGTACCTCCAAGGCTGCGTGTGACGGCCGTCAAGCAGATCCTAATCTGTCTCTGCAATCAGATTCCCGAGCTGGATCTGCTTCCCCCTGCATTGTGGGTCAGGCTATTGAGCCGAAGGCTCCAGGTGGAGTCCCTCAAGCAAACCTCCGATGCACAACGATCACCTCGCGTGCAATTGCCCACCAATGCAATCGTATGCCTGCGCGCAAAGCACTCAGCATCGGGTGCTGGAACGTGCGCACACCACTGGACCGGAACTCGAGCGAGCACCCTGAGCGACGCACTGCACTGGTTGCGATGGAACTGGCGCGCTACCACATCGATATTGCGGCGCTCAATGAAACTCGGCTCGCTGAGCAAGGTAAGTTGCATGAAGCAGGTGCTGGCTACACATTCTACTGGGTGGGCAACGCCGCCTCAGCACCACGTGATCATGGGGTCGGATTTGCAATATCCGATCGCCTCCATGGCCAGCTGGTGGGTGAACCAACAGGCATCAGCGCGCGACTGATGACTGTTCGCCTACGACTCGGAAGAGGTAAGTTTGCCACTTTTCTAAGCACGTATGGTCCGACCATGTGTTATCCTGATGACACACGTGATCAATTCTACACTCAGCCATCCTCCGTGATACGGTATGTGCCGAGGAGCGACCGACTATTTCTGCTGGGTGATTTCAACGCGCGTGTTGGGCGTGATGCATCGGTGTGGACAGATGTTATCGGTTCGCATGGCATTGGTTCAACGAATGCGAACGGTGACAGGCTGCTCTCACTGTGTGTCACTCGCGGTCTGACGATCACGAACACTCGGTTTGCACTGAGTGCGAGTGATATAGCAACTTGGACGCACCCACGGAGTGGTCACGCTCACCTGCTCGACTATGTCATCGTACGTCAGCATGATATGCATGAAGTGCACATGACATGTGTACTGCGTGGAGCTGAGTGTGGCACTGATCACAAATTGGTTCGGACCAAACTGTACATATATTTTCATAAATCTATGTATTGCACTCCCGCCATGAATCGGCGTAAATTTAACATTCTCTCCCTCGGCACTGTGGCGAAACCTACTGAGCTAGAGAAGGCGATGGCTGCACGCCTGTGTGATGTGGAATGCATAGCCACAGTGGGCGACCTGTGGCACTACATTCGCGACCAGGTGACAGCTGCTGCCGAGAAGACCATCGGGCGCACAAACTGTAAGCGGCCTGATTGGTTTGATAAGAACAATGCGACGATTGGCGCATTGGTGTCTGAGAAGAATGTAGCATTTGCTGCATATGTCGCAGACCCCTGTGACTTGGGGAAGAAGAGTCAGTTTCGCGAACTTCGACGGCGACTGACCCGAGAGCTCCGTCACATAAAATATGCATGGTGGACGGAGAAGGCGAAGCAGATAAAATACTACGCCGAACGCCGTCAACACAAGGAATTCTTTGACTCCTTGAAGGCGGTGTATGGACCGAGACTGGATCCGCTGAGGACGCTGATCGATGGTAGTTCAGGCGCTACCTGCACACAGACTGCAGACATAATGCAGATCTGGCGAAAACACTTTGACTGTCTCTTGAACAACCGTTCAGGGATCGACTAGCCTACATTGAACTGCCTGAAGCAGCACGATGTGAAGACTAGTCTGGCGGACACGCCGACACTGGATGAGACGCAGAGAGCACTTGCTCATTTGCGAAACGGTAAGTGTGCTGTAGCCGACGGGATCCCGCCTGAAGTATTAAAACACGGCGGACCCGCGTTGTTGACTGCGCTGCACCACTTGGTGCAACCTGTATGGATTGAGGAGGAGGTGCCTCCTGAGCTGAAGGATGCTCTTGTGCTACCACTGTACAAGGGTAAAGGGAGCAAGCAATGTTGCACGAATTATCGTGGCATCAACATGCTGAGTTATGGAACCGAACGTGGTTGAAGAGCACTGTGGATTCCGTTCGGGTCGCAGCACTATAGATATGTTGTTTGTGGCTCGTCAGTTGCAGGAGAAGTGCAGAGAACGACACCAGCCGTTGTACTCGCTTTTTGTTAATTTACCCAAGGCATTTGATACGGTGATCCGCAAGGCATTCATTGGCTGGTGTTGGGTAAGTTTGGTTGCCCGCTTAAGTTTGTAAGTTTAATTGAATGTCTGCACAGTGGTATGCGAGCGCGGGTGCAGCTGAGTGGATATCCCTCGGATGAATTTCCAGTTGTCACAGGGGTGAAGCAAGGCTGTGTCTTCGCTCATGCCCTGTTTAATATCTATCTTCATGCAATGTTGTCATATGCTTTTGATGCGGCTTGTACTTACGGTGTTCGTGTGGAGCACCGTATTGATGGTGGGTTGCTGAACATATATATATATATATATATATATATATATATATATATGTATATAATGTTAAAATACTGATGTTCCTCGGCAATGATGACGGCCGATTTAAAGACGCTGCTTCGTATGTGGAGAAAAGTTTCCGGTGAAACATTTTGCAGCACTTTCGCGTTAACTTCTCTGCCACGAGTAGTGTAGTTGTCACATAGAGTGATGAAAATTGGTTTTCGCTGGCAGCTCGGCGATAAACAATTTCTTCCGAAATGCTCATATCTTGTGGTCGGGAGATCTGCACTGTTCTGTCCAGCTTGGGTTTAGTTAATCATATCGCATGAAGATGTGATGGAAACAATGGATAAAAGAACGTGCTTATGGTGTGGTGAAATTGCACCAAGTGGCGCTAACCTGTCACAAGACGAACCCAGACTTCTTCACAACATATAGCATAAGATCGAGATATACTGAAACCCGCCAAAATGGCCACCAATCTGAGTTCATTGACGGACTATGAGAGAGAGGCAAAAATACTACTTTCCATCGAGAGTAGAAACACTATTGAAATGATGCAGGTAGCTTTAAGCATTTCATACCATCTTGCATCTGCAAAGTAGCATGTCTTCAGACGAAGATATTAAACGGCGTTACAGATTGAGGGCACATTGAAACCTGGTAGAAAGGAAGGCCGATATGTGGCACGCAGCGTTGTTGATGCGTCTACACCAGGCAAATTGAGATCTGTCGAAAACCTAATGAGGAACGGAAATGCGTCAAGGCAGCGTTCATCTGACCAACCTACCAATGTAGCCGTGTTTTCATAGGTTCTCCTACGTAACCTCCGGTGTACCATATTTTATCTGCTAGGAGCATTCCGCACGCAGCCTACGTTACTTTCTTCGTCCTCCTGATCAGCATCACTTCTGTGTGGATGCGATATCCAGACACCCCGGTATATATGGCTGGTCGTTCTACCGAAATTAAGAGTGCCATTTCTGTTGTTTTCTGTGTTCTGTGTCGTTACACTAATCTTTCACACCAATGGCGTTATGTTGGGCCTCTTAATATAATATTTTTATGTTAGTTCCGATCAAAATCACCCTAGTTGGAACTTTGTTTGCACCTCTTTGAAGCTACTTCGTTGTATACCACACTACCCATGGTACATTGATTGATTTGCTCAAAATCCTGCTTGACTCATGTCTCCAAATCTGTCTCCGTGTTTTAACATTTTTAGGCTACGGCCCTAATGGATTCCGAGAGCTGATGCAGCACCCATTCTTCGCCTCGATCAACTGGAACGATCTGTTGCATTGTCGCGTACAGCCCCCTTTCATTCCTCCGTGCTCTCGATTAGACGAAGCGTCCAATTTCGATTCCCAGTTCACCTCGATTCCTCCCTTTGGTGAGTACTTATTTGGCCCGTAAGATTTTGTCATTATGCTGAGTTTGCCCGCAATGACACCGATCTAGCAGCCAGCGATCATGTGTTTCCCGACAATGGGCTGATCACCTGGTTCCACCTTGGAATTATAAGCCAATCCATAATATTCTTTCCGCAAACCTATGTGTGGTTGCGCATTAGATTACTGTCCACTAATGCATAGAGATTCTATTTCTTTAGTTGTATCTAGCGCATCCGTTGTCGCGACATTCAAAGCCTGATATTTAGTGTTTGCGATGCACCGTTTTCGGCTAATCCCATTCGGCTGATCTTGTCATTTTTCTTCGAGGCCATTTGGAATGCATTTCTTCCCATTTTCATCAGCAACTATCCCCCTTGAAATTCGTGCCCTGTCATTGTTAATCTTCCTCACTTTTTTCAATTCCACCAATCAGTCAGCAACCCTCAGAGAGGCTATGTGGGGGAGGGGGCGTGGTAGTGTGCTTCAACCTACTTGTGAAAGATTTTCGCGTCTGTGCAACTACTGTGGGGCTCTTTATCCCTCGCATCTCACACAGGTTATAGTTGTCTGAGTTCTGCGACTCAGCACACTGGCCTACTCTACTCATTCATGTTGTCTATACCTTTGAAACACTTAGATCCCTTTAGTAATTTTGGATAAACCGTAAGAAGACTAACACTGGCAGACGTTGACATTTCGTATTGTCTCCTCCGTGCCAACGCATGAAAATATATAAGACGACAGATAGCGTGAGACCATATATTCCCGCTTCTCTGTAGAGATCATCAAGTCTACTTAGTTCGGACGACAAACCAGCCGCACTACTGCTTTACTTCAAAGCGGATTTGGATGCTTTTATTACCAGATGCTATCCGCGCACCGAAAAGTATTGGATCCCACTGCACTGCTCATACCTTCGTCATATGTATGAATGCGACAGAAAAATGGAACTTCAGCTAGTAAGTAGACCACAACGCACTCGTCAGGTTGTAACGCCAACGGTTCGAATTTTAGGACTTAATTCCCCACTATTTTACCAAAGCTTTGTACCATCTGGTATCCAGACAAACGATGCGCAGTGAATCGTGCAAGCTTATCAAAAACTGTCGTTGTAATTACCAGAGAGTTCCTCGCGCTAGCTTCCAAATAAGATAGCCCTCCACATGTCCAGAAAAGCCCTAGCTGACCGTTTCGGCCTACTGAGTCTCGTCATTAGTGCGCATCTATCGGTTCCATCCGGATTTGAACCGCTATTCAACTGCTTATGCCACTGGGACATGGGGGATAGATTCGGACCGTCATGATTTACAAAATATCTGTGATATAGCGCGTCTTATCCTCCACTGCCATGCAACTTACGGACGTTTTAGAGGACACGGGTGGCCCCGAAAGACACGACGTCCACCGACAGTACAACATCATCATTATACACGTTAGCTAGAAATGGGAAACACCTCAGCTACTGTGCCGCAATACATAACAGAAAAAAGAGGGAAATGCAACGGGTGCAAGCCAGCTGAGCTACCGGTAACGGATGGGTATCGTTCCGATAAGCTACCAGCTGACTAGTATATAGAAGTAAAACTAATTTACGATGCAAAATTATATTAGGCTAAGTAGGGAGATCGTGGTTGGAGGGGGAGGCTAAGAAGGATGGGGTGGGAAAAAGAAACTCACAGCACGAATGCCATTGAAGTCGGCTCCTAGCCATGTCAGCAGGTGTATCAAGCCAAGGGTGTTCATCGACTTTCGGACCTCAACCAGGGAGCCGAGAGACTCCAACCGAGGTCAGCTTCGAAGTGATGGCCTTCCTTCCTCTCGGCCAAGTCATCGCCTGGCCATTTAGAAACTCTTAGGACGGAGATGTTTTTATATACTATTGAGTATGAGATTTTGATATAATCAATTGAGCATACGTCGCAGCCGGATTCCAAATCAGATAGTCGCCCACATGCCCGTCAAGCACTAGACTGCATTTTACGGATGTTGGACATCATCAGTAGTGCGCATCCATCAGATTCACCAGGGTTTCATCCCAAAACCACCAGCGGCTTGCACTGCCAGTCAGCACCTTTACCACTTGACCACGAGGACAGCTTCGGACCGTCATAATTTGCAAGCTTACCGCAATATAGCGCTTCTTCTCCTCCAATGCCATGTGGGTCAGGAACATTGCAGAGGACAGGAGCGGCCCCGAGAGATACGACTTCTACTTTCGTTGTGCCTCCTAACCAAGCATAATGTTTGCTAAGAACGTTACGCACCACTGTGTTCGACCCGGCCGGCGTTGGCAGCGTTAATCCAACGGACGGTTCACTGCTGCGGTAACTGATCGGTTGCGAGTACCATCTGATGGACCACCAACTACCATCAGTCCTACGCAACCAATATTGCCTTAACTAGTCATCATATCGTAAATGATTGCACATTAGTACATTATGCTTGCGGTTCATCGTCGCAGTGTGATACTGTCCCTACAAATGAGGAGTAGTGAACAGTTGATTCATTTTTAGCGCACAAACTTTTGAAGAGCAGTTCAGAAAGCATGCCGCGACACCGCCGTTTGGCGGAGTTATCTGAGCCGACGTGGGGATTCGATATCACACCTCTCACGTTGGAAGAGATTTGACAAAAGCCTCCTGGACGCGACGACCTTCCTCCTTCTTTGTTGACCAGATTTGCTGCTCTGCGCAACTCACTAGTGATCTGCCGTCAGACCAGCGACTCAACTGTCGTGCCCATCTACAAAAGGGATCGACGAAAATCTTTTTTAATAATCATCACCGGCCAATATTACACCTGCAGGAACCCTGTAACACCCGAGGGCATCGTTATGAATTCAGGGTCCTCTGCATGAACAAAGTATCACATCAGCTTTGTATAGAACGAGGAATCGTAAGCTTATGGAGTACACTACCAGAAGGATTAATAGAGGGCGTTTCTGTAAAGTGTTTTAAAACCCGTATCGACGATTATTTCTGAAACCTGTACTTTTGTGAAACGATGCATATACAATGCCAAAAGAAGACATCGTCTGCCCGGAAATAATGACACCAATGCAACTATCTAACCGGACAAGGATAAACGATTAACGGACCAGACACAACCGCTGACGATTCACAACTAAATGTTTTGATTTTTCTAAATCGACAGTTGTACAGAAACCTTTTTACTTGCTCTTAAATACAGTCTCAGTCTCAAGGCATTAGCCTACTTTTCAGATATCTTTTCGATAAGCAGCGTTCGTCAGCCTTGTCCAATTTCCCCATGATATGTTGCCTTGCGAAATCTCACGATGCAAGCGTTGAGATGTTGCCTGGTGAAAAGCTAGTTTATCTTGATTATACGGACGATAGTTTTGCTGTTTAACAATGTTGGTGCGCCTCAGTTAACCCTGAATAAATGCTGTAGAGTGGTCCCATCATTTGGCATGCGCTTCGCACCTTCAAAGTGCAAATTGTTTGTGCAGGACCACTAGCCACTTAATGATCCATTAATCCTTGATAGCGAGGAACTCAAGGTAGTTGATCAATTCACTGACTGGCAGTTGCGTCAGCATAACCACTGAGGTCTTTTCAAATATTTCAGAAGCTATACCTGCTTTCTTGAATCTGCGATATCTTTGTCTACAGAAAGGAGTTTCTCTCAGTCTGAAAGGCCGTTTACAAAGCTGCAGTGAGAGCCGTCGTAATCTATGGAAGTGGGACTTGGCCCCTTCGCTCGGTGAATCTGAGGCGCCTTCAAGTCTCCGACCATCGCTGTCTGCGGAGCATCGCTGTTGTCGGGTGGCTCTAGCGTGTCCGCAACGATGATGCGCGTGCAGTGATCTACAGTGATAACCAAGCTATTTCCTTAGAACAACAGTTAGCACTGAATAAGTTGCTTTGGCTTAGGCACATTTTACATATGCCTGGTCACCGCTTACGGAGAAGGACTTTGTGATGTCTGTCAGATAGGTCGCAGAGCTCGAGGTAAACAAAAGTTGACTTGGTTGCGGGAAATGAAGTCACTGACGACCAAACTGGGTGCCGTCGATCCGTCTCGCCTTCCAAGCTGGGGTCTACGTGACTCTAGACTTTACAGGACATGGCTCGCATTCGAAACCAGTGGCGCATCTGCTGCCGTCTCTTGGTCGAACTCCCTGTTTAAATTCTGTTTGATGCTGAGTTATCTGCAGGCTAATGGCTGGTTATGATGTAGGGCAATGAAAGCCGCAAGGAAGCTGTCTCGCCGATGCCGCCTTATCTTTGCCAGCTGCTTGTGACGGTATGTTCCTGACAAATATGGTCGCCTTGACCCTGAATGTTTGCATAAAAACATCAAGTTATTTAACTATCCCCCTTCTATTCTCCTTATTATTCTTCGAAGTATCGATTCAAATGCGTGCTGTACTGTTGCTGATGATAATTTTTTAGGCGCAGGCATTCTGTAGCTGTGTGCAATCACAGCATTAAGTATCTCCTGTCTCCTTCTTACACCTTGTCGCTATGGCCGTCTTAGTTGGTCAACACTTGTATGGTCTTTATGCACCAGTACAAATGTCTTACCATCTTGTTTATTGGCAGTACGAATAAATTCTCGACTTGTTTACACTTCAAGCAGTGTCTGCTTTCTATCGGCAACCGCACAAGTACCTGTAGGTCTCATGGAAATGTCCTTGTTGCATCTCACTTTCCATCACACTCGATGTGATTGTGCAGCTTGGAATGCGGTCAGGTATTTGCGTTCGTCTGTAGGCGCTCTTTAAACACGCTAGTCTTGCAAAATCACTCAAATCTCATCGCATGTCCGCTCGTCATTTGTTCGCGGTATGCCAGTGTTTGGATGCTGATGGACCGGGCGCTAGTTCCGCTCAAATGTGTGTACACACACGGACGCGCTACCACCATCATGTATTCGACAGAATCTATCTGCACTGTCGCATACACACTAAGTCATCCCGTTCGACAGCTTTTATTCAAATGGAACCGTGAGCGAAACGAGTAGTGCCTAGTGAACCCATATATTTTGAATGGGAATATGCGGCATCGTGGCAACAGGCAATATGCGCATCCAACGCATTGTGGTGTCAGCTGAAGATCACCCCACGTATCCCGTTTGGTTTCGGTTAACCCATACAGTGCATTTCCTGTCTGTCTCTATGTAAGTCACTTAAACATTCTGATGAAAGGACAGGTTTAACATGGAAATTTTCCTTCTTTTTGTGATAAAGAAAACACGTTTTAGTAGTTGTGATGTTCGCCGAGCTGGGCAGTCTAGTTACCGACGTTTAATCACCATACGAGGTGAATTCATCAGTGCAGGAGCGATCTAAGATTGTTAGGGACCCACTCCTGCGCTGACCCTTGGTTGTGACCAGCTTGAAGTCGTTGAGAAATTTAAGTATCTAAGCAGCTATATTGGCGCTTGTGGAATGGAAGACAAGGTCATGAATCTTATATCCAAACTTTTTAGCGCTTTTGCTAATCTCCGCTACATTGGCGCGGGCGCGAAATTTCTCTTGCTCTGAATGGCAGAGTTTACACTCCGGCCGTGCTTTCAATCCTGTATCGTTGTGGAACTTGGCCCATCACCACGGCAGATCTGAAGAGGCTAGCTACGTTCGATCGTCGCTGCCTTCGCAGCTTAACTCATGTCTGGTGGGAACATCGCGTGAGTAATGAGCGTGTTCGACGTTTCTTATTCAGTACGTGAAGAGCGAGTGAACCACTCAGCACCGTTACATCACGCACCGTACCCCCATTGCTTGGTCATATATGGCGCAAACCAACACGCCGACTTCCGGGACGTGCATTGTTTGCTCGGCATGGGTGTGGTTGTAAGAGGAGGAGAGGAGGCCAAGCGATGACTTGGTCGAGAGAAATGAAAGCCCTCACTTCAAATTTAGCGTCGGTTGGTGCACCCCAACTGCGTGGCTGGGGCCCGAAGGATGGTGAACACGTCTCGTTAAATATACTGGTTGCCATGGCGAAAAACCGACCTCAATGACGTTCGTGTTGCATGTTTTTTGTCCCCCTTCCTTTTTGACTTTCATCTCTCCAAACACCATCTCATTCTCGATGTATACTATTGTGGTCCTTTTTATTATTTTCTATTTTGTCACGTTTGGTTTCTCGCTTTCTTCATATATCCTATCTATTTGAACTCCGCCTGCCATGTAGTAGTGATGGTGATGATGGCACTACAAATATGGATGAAACGTCCGCGATCAAGTCGTACAGCTCGATGAATACCACAGCAACTGAACAAGCCGCTTCGGGTTTTGCTTTGCACCATCGAAATGCAAAGCGTTCCTCCAAGATTGGCAGGGATCGCCTCCTGCGCTGACTCTTGGTGGGGATCAGCTAGAAGTCGTTCGGAAATTCAACTACTTGGGAAGTTGTATCAGCGCCCTTGGGATCGAAGACGAGATCACGAACCGTATAGCAAAAGCTCGAAGTGCTTTTGCTAACCTTCGCCACCTATGGAGGCGGCGCGACATTACTCTCGCCCTGAAGGGTAGAGTGTACAATGCAGCGGTACGTCCGACACTACTGTACGGTTGCGAAACCTGGCCCCTAAGATCGGCGGACATGAAGAGGCTAGTTACGTTCAACCACCGGTGCCTTCGCAGTTTGGCTCACATCTGGTGGGGAACACCTCGTGAGTAACGAGCGTGTTCGACGTCTTGTTTATGGCACAGGAAAAGGAACTGAACCGCTCAGCACATTCATTTCACGTACCAGGCTCCGATGGCTGGGCCACGTGTTGCGCATGCCAGCCCACCGACTTCTACGACATGCGTTTGCTCACCGGGGATGTGGATTGAAAAAGAGGAGGGGTGGCCAAGCGATGACTAGGTCCAAAGGAATGAAGGCCCTTACTTCTGAGCTGGCCTCGGTTGGAGCATCACGGCTCCGTGGTTGGGATCCGAAAGTCGGTGAGCACGTTTGGCTGAATACACTTGATGACATGGCAAGGAGCGGACCTCAGTGGCGTTCCTGCTGTTAGTTTTTTCTTCCCTCATCATCCCTTTTAGCCTCCCCCTCCACTTACGATTTGTATTTCAAAGCGTAAAACATAATAATTTTTCTTTTTGCCTGGTAGCCGGCTGGTAGCTTACCGGACGATGCCTATCTGTTGCAGGTAGCTCAGCTGGTATGCAACTGTTGTAATTTTCCTCTTCCTTTATGTGTTGCTGCACAGTAGCTGAGGTGTTTCCCACCTCTAGCTGACGTGTATGATGATGATGATGATGCCCCCGAGGTACCAGTATTTCCTGTAATTTTGAAACTTTTATTTTCACATTCAAATAGACCGAAAGGAACTCTCACCTCCGACCGAGCTTGCATTGCCACCCTTGTTCTTCTCAGTTCACTACTGTTTCTCCTGCTTCCTCGACCACATGGTTGTTCTCTATCTATTTGGGGCTACGGTACTCAAACTACCACGATTCTTAGTAAAACCACATCGATGTCAATATTGGCGATCGCCTTTTTCTCAACTGGACCTGAATCCAGTGGACACGCACCAGGCTCCGATGGTTCGGTCAAGTGTTACGCATGCCAGCACACCGACTTCCGCGACGTGCATTGTTTGCACGTTGTGCGTGCGGTTGGAAGAGGAGGAGGAGAGGCCAATCGATGACTTGGTCGAGAGAGATGAAAACCCTCACTTTGAAGTTGGTACATCCCGACTGCCTGGCTGGGGTCCTAAGAACGGTGAACACGTGTGGTTGAACACACTTACTGATATGACTTGGAGCCGGTCCCTATGGCGTTTGTGTTGTGAGTTCCTTTGTCCATCCCCCTCCAATCACGATCTCACTCATTAGGCATAATATGACTCTCCTTTTACGGCACGATAGCCAGCTGTTATCTCTCCGGAACGATGTCCATCCCTTACTGGAGACTCAGCCAGCGTGTTTTCCTTTTCTTGTCTTTTGTATTGCGGCACAATAGCTGAGGTATTTTCTATCTGCCGCTAACGTGTATAATGATGACGATGATGATGGACACGGTGAATGGTGTGTCCGATCCACTAGCGGTTTCCCGAATTCACGTATGAAAATGAACTACAGCTGACCAGTCACGTGGAGCCAAACCACATGGAACCACACAGGTAACCCCGGAAAACAAATCACTGGAGCATTAGTGCAAAGATCAACTTGTCGAAAGTCATCATCAAAATGGACAAGGATAATGAGAATACTATTTTGCTAGGAATATTTCTTTATAGTATAAACGTCTCAAACCTACAGGTTCTTTTCGCATGGTTGCGTTAACAGTAATAATAGTGGTACCAGGGACCAGTTTGATGCGCATCAGAATCTACAATGCACATGTGAGCACGAATCCAGAAACCGACTACCGTTCATAGATGTTGCTATCATCAGAAACGCCGATGGATCGTGCAGCAGTGCGGTGTATAGAAAACCAACTTGGACTGGACAGTACATCAACTTCTATAGTGCAGTACCCATACAGTACAAACGAAATCCAGTCCGCACTCTTGCGTTCCAGGCACATAGAATTTGCGCACCAAACACAATCACCAAAGAATTGCAAAGGATCGGCGACGCGCTAACAGCGAATGGGTATCCAGATAAATTCATCCTCAAACATTTGAAAGAACGCATGATCAAACCACCGAGGATGAAGGTACCCAAGAAAGAACTAATTATGCATATTCCTTTCAAAAGCGACAGTGCGGCTGATAGCCTGTCGAAATGCCTGAAAGACGCTGTTGAAAAGACCTATTTCGCGGCACCTCTACGCATAGTATTTTACAACAAGCCTTTATTCGCAAAACCTTTGAAAGACAGGCTGCCTCCGGTGACTCGATCAGTGGTTGTTTATCTTTACTCGTGCGCCTGTGGTGCATGATACGTGGGTCCTACCACGAGGCGCCTATCTCATAGGATTCGCGAACACATCCCAAAGTGGTTTTACAGAGGCGAAGCCAGGTCCAGTAACAGTTCCATCTTGTCTCACCTTCTAGAGTGCAGTCACGCAGGGACGGAAAATGATTTTAGACTCATCTATACTATTCCTGAACGTTTCACTCGCGGATTACGGAAGCATCTTCTGTCTATTGCGGAAGCTATCTACATCTGCCACCTCAAGCCAGAATTGTGCGTACAAAAACTCTTTGTACGTCCTTTACTTCTACCATGGCCTACAACTTCGGCTGTGATTTCCCCTGTACATAATTGCCACTTTCAATGACCCCGTGATTTATTGATTTATTCCTGTTGAAATTAAACATTCTGTTCAATACGCAGCCCAATCCGGCACATTTAGCACTTTTTCGTCATCATGTAATGTTTGAGTCTGATGAGAATTACCGAAAAGAATTCTTTACTCAGGTTCTGCCTCCCTTGATTCATTTCTACCAGGGTTTGTCGCACCTCACCGCAACGTGTCTTCTATGTAATGTTGGTCTTTCTGCCGCTCGCTTCAAACTGTGCCCACTTTACGGCGACTTTTGTTTATTCACTCCGAGGTTTTAACGTAGTAATACAATCCAAGGACTCCATTTGTTTGTGCGTTTGTTATATCTCTACGTTGATATGAGTACTCCAAGCGGATTACTTGTTTGTTGATTGTTTCAACAGCAACGTTATTTTTATGGTTATGTCTTTCTGTGAGCTCTCAGTCACATAGTTGACCGATTTCGCCATCTCTTCCTTCTCAGCTGTCATTGTTTCACCTCCCGCCGTTTACTCCTAGGAATCCCACTTCATGTTCATACTGTTTTCCCATTCACTTTAGACTCCCCAGGTCTTCCTCCCAGTGCGTCTGCGCACGCTCTGTTCCGAGGCTTCAGCTACATCGCCCCTGGATTTGTATCCAATTCTAGTCAGCCTTCGATTAACGGTCAACTGACGAATACCCGGACTCCGGAACCAGTACCACCGTGTGGCGAGTGCGCCAACGAGAGCACCGATGAGAATGCGCCCGAGCTAGAACACGGTAAGTGGTGCCGGCTGGTCTAGCTTTCGCCCACGTCCCACTCACACCATTGTTAAATGTTTGTACTATGATTCCGTTACTTTGCTCCGTTGCACCACGCACTGTCCGTACACCCGTGCATCGAGTTTCCGTTTCGTTATGTCAGCCTGAACTAAACTTCTATTTCGACTACTGAAAAGGCATCGTCAGTACGCCGGTACTCAATACTGACGCTTCGCTGCCGCGCAATCACAGCCTGTAACTCGTGGGCTAACGGTACCTCGAGAGTCGCCCGGTCCCCTACTCAGACTCGAACCCGCGCCCGCGTATTACAAAGCGGGTTTGTGGTCCTTAGGACTACGGGTCGGCTACCGATATAAACGCATCGCTCTGGGACGCTAGAATTCTGCATAATGCACTCCTTTCTCTCATACCGTGATGGTTTGTTTTTACAGCACACAGTCTGTCGTGTACATATTTCTTTAACCCTGGTTCGCTTCCGCCTGAAAGCAGCCTCATTCCTTTCACGCAGTCACGCAAATCCTCAAGCGAAGAAACTAAACACGTTGGCTTCATTTGAAGAGGACGACCATGAGCTATTCACACTCACGAACAGGAACGTCACGCTACACTTAGCATTCCCATGGATCAGTAGGTTACGCCCCCAGTGTCGTTTATGTATTCTTTTCAGCAAACTATTTTGATCCGCGATCGATGCGGCCGCATGTCATAGCCTCACTTTGATCCTAGCGCACGTCCATGGGTTGGTTTCCTTCGGCGCGTTTTTGTTGTAAATGGAAGAATGTTGTCTTTATCAGCAGCACGAGAGGGGCGGTCCTGTGAACCTGATCAGAGCACATTTGCTAATGTTGGTGTGAGTAGTATTTTTTTCACGAATGACAAAATGTTGTTCCATTTGCAACCGAATATCGACCAGTCAGTTCAGCCAAATTTGCATCAAGCGCTGACAACGAACACTGCAGGGATACTTCAAAACGAATTGCAGCCCAGTTGGTGATTCAGAGAGAGGAAGCATACGAACTTTCGGAATAGTGCAGGTTAAACACTACATGAAGAACTTAAAAATGGAAGACGTGCGCAGATAAATAGCAAACTGATTGATGGCGTTACAAATGCCTGTTGCTCTCCGAAACTTTTTAGATATTACTCCATGTCAGACTTCGTTGCAACCAATCGTTCACCATTCCCCAGACTTTGTCCATTGATACCAGCCCAAATCCCTCCTTACTTATAATTCCTTCGCATGTGTCTGCTCAGTAAGTAATATTCGCGGTACAGTGGGTCAACTCTGTCCACTGCACTTTGAAAATGCCTTTGTTAGTCGAGGGGACGAATGTGGCGCTATAATCACAGTCAGTTACTTTGTCACGGTTGCTTTCATTCTTCCCCTTGTCGATTAATGATCATAAGCATTGACTCTAACAAGATGGATCTTGTGTTTCAGCCCCTTGCTGGATGTACAGAATGCGCACTACACCAAGGGGTTTCGCCTAGTGTTTTCTCGAACTGGATGTGACTGAGGAATCTCTTCCTCTCCCTGTCGAGATTGTATTCACCCGTTTGTCTCTGGTCAACATCCTAGTGGTGCCTCATCTTTGGTCATCAATCACCGACAATGAGCCTCCCATACTGACACGTAGATATACTCCGTGATGGGGAAGTATCACGCACTTTTTAACCGAATATTCTATAGGGACACAAAAGCCGGCCAGATGATTTGGAAATGAGTGTGTGTAGGTGGAGACGTGTATTGGGTTGCGATTTTTTTCTACAGTTATCCACGCCAGCAAATGATCCATTCGCCACACTCTTGTGTACTGATTCACTTAGCTCCATTGTGCAAGCAGCTTGCCTTTCTCCAAATCCCACTTAGCATAACGTGCTCACAGCGATCGACTGAGAGCTGACTAAGGTCTGTTCCCCCCCTGACTGGAACATACTGTCTCCTCATTGCCTGTCGATTTCGCCACTTATCGAGATTCGTTTTGACAACTTTGCAATACCGTCGCCATTTTCATTTTTGAACAATCAAAATCAATAACTTGAGACAGGGTTACGGATGGTAAATAAAGTGAACTAAAAGAACGTGCATACACATACTTCATTTGTCCGAACTGGATAGATAACAACCAAATAACGAAGTGACAGTGTCTTTTGGCTACGGTAGCAGTATCGATCGTATGAATCGTTTTTGTGCGCCTAGTTCACTTGGCTTGCCATCCATAGCCCTGTCTCAAGTTTTCGATTTTGATCTTTCGAACAGTCTAGAAGTCAGTGCCAGCCCGATTTGACCCTTTCATTTTTACTCGCTCGCTATCAACACTGCACCCCGTAACCGGTTTTGTCCTTGTTTGGACTCCACAGATGGAGATTTATCGGCGTCGGTCACTAAGCGATTGCACACTGCGAACAACGCATAGCGTGGCGGTGTGGAATGTATTGTTGGGCTTTAAAGCGTCTGTGACAACTCCGGAATGTGCCAACTTGCACCGGATAAATTAACTCTGGCTATCAGTCCTTGAGGACTATGCTTTGAACTCTAGAAATGCAGTCCTTCCCCAGGATTGGCAGGAACCCATCCCTGCGCTGTCCCTTGTTGGTGATCAGCTAGAAGTCGTTCAGGAATTCTAGTACCTGGACTTCTATATTAGCCCCCATTGGATTGAAGATGGGGTCACGAACCGTAGAGCAAAAGCTCAATGTGCTTTTGCCAATCTCCGCCACTTATGGCGCCAAAGTGACCTTACTCTCACTCAGAAGAGCAAAGCATAAAATGCAGCTGTGGGTTCAGCCCCTTTGTACGGTCATTAGACTTGGCCCACCAAATCGACAGACTTAAAGTGGCTAGTTACCTTCGACCATCGCTGTCTTCGCAATGTAGCTCATGTTTGGTTGGAACACTGCGTAAACAGTGAGCGTATTCATCGTGATGTATTTAGTGCAAGAAGAGCGAGTAAACTGGAGCATTATATATCACGCACGATGGATGGGACCCGTGTTGCGCATGCCAGCACACCGAAAATCTTGTCGTGCGTTATTTGCGCGTCGGGGTTGCGGTTAGAAGAGGAGGCCAAGCGATGACTTGGTCGAGAGAAATGAGAACCCTTACTTCAAAGTTGGCGTCGGTTGGTGCATTCTGACTACCGGGCTGGGGTCCGAAAGACGATGAACACGTTTGGTTGGATACACTAGTTGACCTGGAGAAGAGCCGACTTCAATGGCGTTTGTGTTATGTTTTTTGTCCTTCCCTTCCCTTATAACACTTCCCCCTCCCACAATGGACTCTTCTGGTATTTGATGGCGAACTACCTGATTAGCCCCCCGGAACTCTTCACTCTTCGAGACGCTGCCGTTGATTGTCTGCCACTGATTATTCATCTCGCCTGCCAAACAAACGAGACTTATTCGCAGCATTTTCCAATCCGCAATTTGGGCGCGCACCCAATAGCGTACAGCTCCGCCACGGGTGTACTTGGTGAGTAGCGTGCCAGAGATGGGAAGTAAGATTGAAGCGAATAGGGACTCATGTTCGATCCTCACCATGGATGCGCACGTGCAAAGCGCATGTCCTCTCAATCAACTGTACCAGTGTATCCTGTAGAGTGCATCTGTTATCGGTCCCATGTTATTCCATCCAAGAATTTTTTCGGTTCAATGCTTTTTGTGAATTGTTATGAATAATCAGGTCCATGTTCTCGTATATTCGTTTTCAATGGAGCCCGTTTATAAAAGCTATTCGCATCCATTTCCTTGTCAGCAGAAACTCGGATCAACTCTGATAGCACTTTTGTCTCGTAACCAGCCAATGATTGAGTTTTACTAACCTCTGGTAGTTTCTGGTCGCACGGTATCTTCGTTAATTCATTCCTGATAAATGTCAACTCAGAGTCATCTTAGTTATTACGCGGTTGTTTCCGTAGCTCTACTGAAAAGCTTTGTCTTTTGTTTTGCTAATTGACTGACCAAGGAACCATAATAGTTGCATCGGTCTGTTATATATATATATATATATATATATATATATATATATATATATATAATCTGTAACTAACTTAGTTACAACGACTAATGTTCCATGAAAGGGGTATCCGTGATGTTTTCTATGCATCTGCTACTGGGTCTAGTTTTTCTTTCTTAGCCACGTGGGTTCAATTTTTCGTAGCCGTTGCTTTTGTCAGCTGGAGCTTGATGAACCGCCCACAAGTCCTGTCGTTCAGCTCATATTCTGAATACCACCGGTGTCTTCGCAATTTGGCTCACATCTAGTGGGAACACCGAGTGAGCAACGAGCGTGTTCAACGCCTTGTTTCCGTTACAGGAAAAGGAAATGAACCGCTCAGCACCGTCATTTCACGCACCAGACTCCGATGACTCGACCATGTGTTACGCATGCTTGCCCACCGACTCCCGCGACGTGCGTTCTTTGCGCGCCGGGGATGTGGTTGGAAGAGGAGGAGAGGTTACCAAGCGAGGAATGAAGGCCGTCACTTCGAAGCTGGCCTCGGTTGGAGTCTCTCGGCTCCCTGGTTGGGGTCTGAAACTCGATGGTCACTTATTGGAACGATGCCCATCAGTTACCGGTAGCTCAGGCGGCTTGCACCCGCTGCATTTCCCTCTTTTTTCTTTTATGTATTGCGGCACAGTAGCTGAGGTGTTTCCTATCTCTAGCTAAGGTGTATACTGATGAATGATGATAATGACCAAAACTGATGGACCAGTGTTCGAGAAGTTACGAGATGTTCACATTCCGAACAATATGAGCCTAGCTGTCGCTGCCATAAACTGACAGCTCATCATCGTCGTTCTGACAGTGACTTCATTTTGTCACCTGTTCGCTGTCACTGCGGCCCTGTTTTACTTCATCACCTCGCTGGTTTCCCACTCTCGACCTGTGCGATCGCATCAACGTCTAATTAAGTCCCATATATACATGCGTGCTTGATCGCCCTCCCCCCCTCTCTCTCTCACCACCGCTCAATCAGACTTACCTCATTAGCGATTGACTGATGGGGTTACAAAATCCCCATATCTCCTTCCATCTATCTGTCCCATCTGTTGACAGCCACGTGATGAGGCTGTTGTCACGTTGCATTCCCTGCTAACTTCGCAGCTTATCGCACTGCTCTAATCGATATATTTGTGAGTACTTTGTTCACGCCTCACTCTAATACACCCCCAAATCAATTTGTTTCCTAATGGTTCGCAGCCTTGGACATGTGCAATTGTCAGTCATACCTTTCGTGCTCTAGTTTGTTCCCATCCACAGATCACATGCCGTCCTACGAGACACGCACACACGTGCGTAAATTACACGTGTGGGTCAGGTCTCTGACGCTGCATCTATTATTGTTGCTCCCATGTGCTTTCTACTTGAGCGCGTTTCTCGATAACGTAATTTGACACTTGTTTCTCTAGTTTTGTTTGCTCCATGATTCCTACGTGCCTATCAGGGATGTTAGCACCTTGTTTGGTAGTACTTCATGTTCCCGCTCTTTGCATCAAAATGTTGGGACATCTTTTGCATACTTTTGCGTCCACCCACCTCTTGAAGACGGTCGGCTCAACCCAAAAGCCTTTCCAACTATGCATGATCATCGTCATCTTTCTCTCTAGCTGCGTCATGGTTATGCGCTCGTTTACCGCTTTTACATCGAATTGTTCACTATCCGAGCCTCGACACCCATTATTTTAGTTCGACCTCTTGAATACTTCCTCACTTTACAGCCTGTGTTGTGTTTCCTCACTCCTGTGTGTCTGCGTACCTTGTCTCTTCTTCAACCAATCAGGTCGCGCATTTCCTGCACCGGTACCGGACGATTTGCCTCCTCTCACCCCGACTGCCGCGAAGTACGTGTACCGACTAACGGGCCTGCCTGGCGTGAAAATCACTGACTTCTTCGTCGATTACAAGGTTACCACAGAGGTTGGTCGCGGTTCATTCGCGGTGGTGTATCAGTGCGTCCACCGATGTACCAACGCCGTCTACTCCGTAAAGGTAAACGTTTGAATTCTCTATTCCTCCTCTGAAATGAAATGCTAACGCTTACTCCATCAATCAGTTACTGGGTCGTGCTTCTCTCACCAACCAATCCTCAATTACTTAGTGCAATCTGGCTCTGTTACTTCATTGCAAACTGATCAAATGGCTGAAGACGTCAAAAACCCGACTTCTTTAAGCCCTTGTGCACACCGAGTACTTCATTCATCCGATAAAGTGACTTATGGGAAACAGTGCAGCCAATCGAATCGTTGAAACACGGACCAGTTTCCGTCGCCATATACTATGCATTATCCACATTTCGACACTTCGCCGAGTGATTTAACAGTATCATATTCGACTTTATGACCCGTTTGTTCAACCGATCGCACCTGTTTGTAGGATGTGTTGCTGAGCTTCCGCAGTTCCTGTGTGTTGCTACCGCAAGGGTCATGTACAAGTATCATCTGGTCATTCTAGCTTTGCTTTCTCACTCTCGAGATTCGTCAGAACTGTCCGATTTTGTGATCGAAATTCCCTTGGGGTTACCTTTGCGGAGCGGACAATTCTCCCCACTCTATCCATTGGATTCAACCGCTGTACGTTTACCCTGGTGTGTCTGATTTGCACCTCCAGAATGCTGCATTGTTTCGTCTGAAGACCTGATCGACATCTCACCGTGGTTCTGCTTACGGCATAGCAACCACACGAATTGGTCGACCACTTTATTTGTCTATTTCCTTATGTCGTCTCTTGTAATCGTATCATTGAAGTGACTACCGCACGCATCGGTAAAACTCATGTGGCTTTTCAACACCCCAGTCACGGGACATTAGATTGTAGTCGATTAATGTCCGATTGGTACAAGGCGTTTGCTTTCTAACTCGCAGATCACCGGTCCGAATCTGCGTAGATGAAGGATGACTCGACCTCTCCTTAGCACTCGGGCGACTACTGGTTGTCAGGTATAGCACCTAAGCGTCGGTACGACCTACGGCTGTATGGGTGTGGCCCCGTGAGGAGGAGGAAGTGCGACGCTGCCGTGAAGCTAGAGATATGGCTGTTGTGCATCGGGACTTTTAAAAGACAGATCGTGCGTGACGACGGATGTCCGCATTTTGTTTCCTTTGTTGCTAGTAGGAGAACCGAATGACAGCTACTGAAATTCTCCAATCCTCTGTTGTTGCCTTATTAGCGAGCGTGCCGTAGTCGAACTACCCTTATCGGATAGGTTATACCTCCTTCAGTTGTCTGCCTAGATGTCTTGCATAGATGTGTATTATTTCCTCGCCCTTCGCTCAGTCAAATGTAACCCTGACGGGAACCAGTTCATAGCATGGCTAACTGGTTAGCTAACACGACAAAAGACCCCATGCGACTTGCGTCCATAATTTTCTTTTTCCGGTTCCAGCTATTCCACTAAAAGTGCTACCTAGAAACGCAATTGTGTACGACTCATCCGCTACCCAGGTGGCGCTTTCGTTCTCCCTTTTTCTCTGCCACTTTATTCCTCAGTTTGATGTTATTTTTCTTTCACTTCGCCCATTTTCACTATTTGTACGACCTCGTAAGCTGGAACTATTGGATCCTCCACACACACACACACACACACACACACACACACACACACATATATATATATATATATATATATATATATATATATATATATATATATATATATATATATATATATATATATATATGGTTGGCGGCACCCGGTTTCGGATTTGTCTGTCACTGTGGCCAGCCACAGCACGCCTGCGCATACAGAGGGACCTTGGGTGGCTTGCGCCGCACCACCCACAGCTCCAACCACGCACCCCATATTCAGTGTAAACCCGAAGGAATAACACCGGGAGGCATGTGGATGGGAGCCGCGTTTCATCAACGGAGCCGACCCACACTCCTTCACAGACAAACACAAGCACGATGTATTTGGGAATCAAGCGCACACAAAGCGGTGGCTGGACCGTAGTCCGCTCCACACAGAGTGCATGGAACCACTCTTTGATCCTAACACGGCCACAAGGACCGTGCACCCTGTCCCCTCCAGCAACCACCAACTGTCTCCTGGAGCCAGTATGGACGAGGTAGTGGGTAATAGACAGGTAGGCACTTTGTCAACATGCACATCAAGCGCAGTCACACTGGGGATATCAAGCAACAGCCAATCACCTGGAACGACAAGGTGAAATAAAACAAATCCAAAATGCATCCAGATACGGTGGCATAGCTCTTCGCTAAATTAGCAGATGAAGTAAGTTGGTTAACAATGAATCCGCGATAAGGAAAGATGTCCGCATGTTACTTAAAAGTGTTACAAACGCAACAAAGTTATCGAAGACAAGTGCAATTAGTGTAAGCAACGTGACCAGTTAATAGAAGGTTATTCAGGTAGGCAGAACAAACCAAATAAAATGGAATACATTTATGAAGCTTAAGAAGACCTAGTTTAAGTGTACGTTGGTTTAGCCCAAGTGCGATGAAGAAGCACCAAGGATGCAACATCAGCCTCATCAAACCACCCATGGTCCCTCTGTAGGCGCAGGCGTCCTGTGGCTGGCCACAGTGACATGCATATCCGAAAGCGGATGCCGCCAACCGTGTATATATATATATATATATATATATATATATATATATATATATATCAGCAGTCTACGAATAGACACTAAACCATCAAAATATCATGGAAATTAACGGAAGGTGCCGTTGTCGGAAGAAAAAATAACACATCAATCCTTGTTTTATGCAAAAAACACGATGCTACCTGGTTGCCCAAGCTGAACTTGGGATCTGACTTTCAGTGTAACTTCACATGCTTTTGGCAAAACTACCTACCTGTAAGGCAGCGGAGCGAAGTCAGGGAACCCCGCCTATAGGTAGTTGCTGACTGATCATTCTTTTCATACGCCTATAGTTTGATCGATAACTAAACAGGGACTTAATCCTCCCCAAAATTTTACCCTCAAGCAGACAATGTGTCTCATGACGCGCAGTTTTGGGTTCGAGCAATATCACATCGTTTCCATTCCGCCTAAAAGTTTGCCCACAGTGTTCATATTTCGCAGCCTTTAACTCTGATGCCGTAGCCTTTATGCGCCATCTTATCAGGTCAGAATGTTGTGAATAACCTCGCACCTCATTCGAATTGCAGTGAGTTTGTTTAGTGGCGTTTCCCATTGTTGTCAAACATGTGTGTGTGTGTGTGTTGTCAAACATGTGGCTTTTCCGGTAAAAATGTTTGTCAGGCGAAAACTGTCCACTTCCTGGAACATTGCTACCCAACCATTTGCTGAACGGGATACCCTCGAACCACTAACTGGCACAGCGAGGAGGTTGTTCAACAAGCCGGCTATTCCTTCGATCCCGATCTCCATTCCGGTTAGCGTTCTTCAATGATCCATCTCTCATGTATATTGCTCAACAGGCTGGCCTAGCGCATACTCTAGAGTCCCACGCTATCGATGACTCGATAGAGACTCGAGATACTCGATTACAAGAATCCATCACCGTGGTTAGGTTGACGTCCTCTGCTGATCTTGGAACCAAATTTTTCCCTAGTCTATCTGGTGACAAAGAAGCGGCTGCAGGTGACTTGACTAGAGTTGTTCTCGCTGAGTCCAAGTATTTTTCCATTGGTTCTCGGCTGACCGCCGACTGTGTGCGTTTCGGCTTCAAGGCCCATGCATGGTCACGGGCGTCGTGGAGAGAGACGCAACTTGCTTGTGATTTACGTTGTGTAGTTGTGCACCGGTTAGGGACGACTCTTATCGTGTTACTCCATCACCTTTTGATTAACGCCGAAGAATTTAATGCCGTCGTTGTTTCCGGAGACTTCAGTGTTACTTGTCAGTCGCCTGCTGCCATGAGAACGTCATCTTGGTGGATGTCATGCCTTTGGTGGTAGTCACTTTGTCAACGTAGACAGATTCCTCATACTGTGTAAGGATAATCATTTCTTTCTGTCAAGCACGAACTTCAGGCATTCGATGATACGCGCCGCCACCTGGCATCCCCTTTTGCCAAGGCAAGTGTAGTGACTTTACTAGAAAAACTGCAGGTTAGGGAATTTATGCCTCACGCACTGTCTTGGTAGAGAAAATAACACGTAACTTCCTGTTATATTGGTTTCTTAATACAAAGTAAAAACAGTACTCAACTTACGATTAGGTTTGCAATCATCATAAGAAAGGATGGTAGCTAGAAGACGTGTGGCGGTGTGCGGAAATGGTACAGCATAGCAGTTTGCTACTCGGCAGTTTGTCAATTCTGAAATATTTGATGTTAAAGAGTCAAGGATATGCCAATATTGCGAGGCGAAAACGTATAGTTTTCATAATGCAAGTATTCGAAGAAAACTTGTATAAATTTCTATAAGGAACTAACTGAAAGGTTTGGGATGGGAATATATGTCATCAAATGGGTAATCCGGTTAGGCTAAATAGTCAAAATGGTTTTTGGACATTACAGCGTGATCACAAATGAATAGCATTGCAAATCCAGATGCGGGGCAGTGTACTGGATTGCAGATCGATTCGTTCCACCTGCCTCAACTCAGATCAACCTCTGTCTGTCTGTGCAGAAATCTACGCGCGCTTCGGGGGCTAATAGAAATTAAAGCACCGTGTAAACTGAACATCAACGGGCTATCTAAACCCCCATTCAAATGGCCTATCAATCCTCCTTACCAGATGCGTTCACTAGTGCTCCACTTTAGACCTCGATCATCACCGAAGTTTCTTGCAGAAGGTGTGGCTTTCTACCGGTCAATCATTCTCTGGGATCATTGGGCATCCTCTAAAAGGCTGGATTTCCGCTCGCTCTTTGGAATGGTTTGACCGTCGCTAAGCTGTCCCAGCTGATCCAAGCAGCGGTAAGGTCTGCTGCAATCTCAGCCAACGACTCAAGCAAAGCCTGCGTCTCACCGTGCTCAGATAATAGCCACAGTTGCTTTCTCTCTGGAAGTTTTCACAAGCTTTTCCTTGTCGTTTGGACTAGTGGCTACAGAAGAC